ATCCAGCAGCTACAAACTATTGGCGGAAAGAACTCCGCAGGCGTGAGGAGAGGCCACACTGGGACAGCTTACAGGGACCCCCCCCCATTCCCATTTTGAAATCCATGCCTTCCACGTATTAGCACCACCCCAACCACCTTCCACCCTCTCAACCACCCTCCCTATCAGGCCTTTCTTTTCTGGGGAATTGAAAAACAAACAAGTGTAAAGTGTACTTTCATATCTGTAATTGTGATTTATAGCTAACACTTTGGTGTCTACAGTATGTCTGCTCTGTATACACTGCCTTAGGAGATGACCTCACTTAACCCTCGCAACAACCCTGCGAGACAAATACTATGATGACCCCTATTTTTTTATTTTTTTATTTATAAGAGAGAGAGAGAGAGAGGGAGAGAAACATCGATTTACTGTTCCAGTTATTTATGCATTCATTGGTTGATTCTCATATGTGCCCTGACGAGAGATGGAACCTGCAACCTTGGCTTATCGGGACTACGCTCTAGCCAACTAAGCTACCAGACCAGGGCTTGATTAGCCCTATTTTAATACCTCAGAAAACTGAGGCATAAAGAGATTAAATAACTTGCCCAATCACATGGGTTGGTGGGGGGAGCACTTTAGCACCAGGACACTGGCCATCCCCATCCGACGTGCCTGGGCCTCATACAGCGATAGAATTGAAAGGGAACAAAGACATCTCATGACAAGAGTCTGCCTTTCATTCAACAGGTAAGGAAACTGGAGCAAAAGTAACTTGGTCAAGCTCTCTCCTCTGAGGGCAGAGCCTGCGACCTCTCCACCATCGTCCCCACCAGAGGCTCAGGGCTGGACCACAGCCTTTACTCAGCCACTCCCATCACTGCCCACTGCCTCCCCCCTGCCCGCCCGCAGCCTGACCTCTGTCACCTCTGGCTTTGTTAGACTTTCAAGAGCAAAACATAAGAAGCTATCACTTCCTGAGGACCTACTATCCGCCAGGCTCAATCAGCCCTCCCATCACCCCATGAGGCAAGTGTTATTATCTCCATTTTAGAGATGAAAAGATTGGCCCAGAGCATTTTAATTATTTGCCCGACTCACACAGCTAGTAAGCAGCAAACTCTTAGTTACCAGGCTGCCTCCCAAAAAACTGAGCTCTTACTAACAGCACCTTTTCCATCTCTTCCTTTATGTTCATGCTATCCATTTCCACCCAGCAATGCTGGTAGGCTTGGCATATATTTCAGCAGCTCCGTCCTGCCATCCTGCCCTGCAGCCTTAGGTAAGACGTGATTCAAAGGCAGGACTCACGCAGAGCCAGCAGGTTTTCATCGTCTACCGTGGGCCTGGACCAACTCTCTACCTAGGGACTTAAATTCTGTGACCTAATAGTTCATGCAATCGAAAGAAGGGGCTCAGGCTCCTCCCACCCCCAACCCAAACATGTTCCCATATCTTAAGGTCCAGCAGCCACCAACAGTGCCCAGATACCTCTGGGATAAGCAGTGATGCATGAGTTTGCCCATGAAGACCTGATAGCATCATAATTCAAGAAATGTGGAGGACAGGCTGTGCGAGGTCCCTGAGATCACTGAAATGGACCCATAATTCACTAGCCACGGGGGGAAATTCTATCACTTTGCACACTTTGCTTCCCTAGCTCGAAATCAAATCAGGGGAACATGATCAGATTTCTAATTTGGAACCTTGGACACGCTACATCATCTTTAATGACTCCTGGCAAAAGATACTCATTATAGATCTCAGCCTACTGAAATTAAAACACAAAACCTAAAAATTAAGCAGAAAATTTTCAATTTCTCAGGTCCATAAGGCCACAGAAAAATCATGCAAGTGGGAATAGACACAGTCTTTAGGGTTTTGTTATGCCTGCAAATATCTGAGCAGGAATTATACGAAAGAGAAGAGCTAGAGAAAAAAGTAAACAAGCCCATCAGAGATCCTAACTTTCAGGTTTGGGGCCATCTGGGTGAACAGCAATGTTTCGTGATCAACGTGAATTACCATGTCAGGCAACATTATCTCTCTGCTGATGGCCAGGTTCACCTGTTCTAGGATGTAGAGCTCCGATTCCCCTGACACGGCAGGCTGCTGGCCTCAAGTCCTCTCTCATGGCTAAGTGGACTGACAGACAGCACAGTCAGCCAGCACCCTGTCCGGGTGGGTAAGGCTCCTTTAAAACAGGATGCTAAATATTCATCTCCCATCATCACTTCTAAACCCCACTCAATGTGGATTTTCTAGAAGTTTGAGTAACCATTAAACAATCTCCGGAGATTGTTTTTAAATCTCTTCCCTCCACCTCCCCATCCTCCCTGCCCTTTGTGTCACCGCAGGAGCGGCTGCCCAGGCCCAGCAAAAAGATTAGCATTCCCAGCTTTCACATTTGCCCCAACTCCATTCTTCTAGACCTGAATCCAGGAAACGGGAGCAAGTCTCTGTCTGCAGCGAGGCCTCAACAGATGCCCCAGAAATATCACTGGAGTGAGGTGTAAACAGAAACTAAAAGCTCAAAACTTCATTTCCCTTGACCTGCATTCTCACCGAGGAAAGTCAGAGAAAGGCGGCCAGGGGCAGTGTAGGGTGGTGCTACTGGCCCCTGAATGTGAAGTGGCACACCCCCTCCTAACGGTCAAGGAGCATTTGCAAACAGCACAAAAGATAAACTATAAGTTTTATTCTTTTATCAATTAAAGAACCACTTCTTCTGAGCCTTAAAATGTGCACTACAGCTCAGAGAGACTTAAAATCCCTTCCTTAATCCAGCTCCTTAGTGTGGAATGGCCACTGTGTACAAACAATGAAGACCTAGGTGTTTCTAAGTATAATTGGTAGACCAGAAAGCCCTTCAAAAACCTCACACAAATGTGAAGGGGTGTCTGCAGCCATGAATGGTAAAGGAAGCCAGGCCCAAAGTCTAGGTCCCTCCCTGGAAAGACCATGTGTGTTACTTCATCATATATGTCCTTGTGGGCCTCCCCCTTTAGAACCAAATCACTCCCAGGGTCACCCTGGAACCTCCCCCTCAGAGTAGCTTTTCATCATTGCTTCCTTGCCCACATGTAACTGAGAGGGAGGAGAGAGTGTTTCAACAACCTGAGGTCTACACTATTTGAGTCTAGTGCTAATTAAGAATGACAAAGGTCTTGCCCAGCCAGTGTCGCTCATCGGTTGAGCTATGATCCAGGAGATCAAAGTTTGATTCCCGGTCGGGGCACATGCCTGGGTTGTGGGCTCGATCTCTACAGGGGGCGTGCAGGAGGCAGCCGATCAATGATTCTCTCATCACTGATGTTTCTATCTCTCTCTCTCTCTCTGAAATCAATAAAAATATATATATTTTTTAAAATGACATGCTCTCTCACCTCTGTGGTTTGTATAAAACTGAAGGTTGGACAAAAAGATAACCAATCTTAACATGAAATACAGTCAACTGTCCAAACTGCCTCTTGTGCCAATCAGTGCATTGGTATTTATGGACCAGGAGTCAGGGGCCTGGAGCCAGCATGCCTGCCCGGAAGCCATGGTTTCTTATGATGCCAACTAACACTGGAGGAGCCCATTAGAAGACTGTGCTTCCGGAGAAAGGCATTAGTGCAAGCACTCACACCAAGGAGGCAGAGGAAGGGGCTGGGCGCATACCAGGCACTTGTGACATGTCCCCCAAATCATGCTGAGTCCTGACCCACTTATTCAGTAAATTACTTTTATGAGGAGGTCAAAAGTTAACAGAGCTTTCCCTGCCCCCGGCTAGAGAGAGCCCCTTTGCTAACCTTGCCATTAAAACTGGGCAACCTATGATATCCGATAAAGTAATTAAGGACAAATCAAAGCAATTACTTGGCATTCCTTGCAATAGCCAGATGACATTTCTGATCCCAAAAAGCAAACTGGACCAAAAACAAAATGTTTTTTCAGAGGCTTGGATAAATTCAGCATCTATAATAGGTTACTATGGGAAACCAGGGTATTGTGTACTATCCACCCCTTTTTTAATAGCAACATTAGATATGGGAATAGTCACTGAGCTCTTCCCTTTGGAATGAACCATAGGACTGAATGAGCCACATGAATGAGCCACAGGGGCGGTTCTGAGCAGGGCCAAGACTAGGGTGAGGCGAATGGAGGCGCCTAGAGAGCAAAACTAAAGTGGGCACTCACTCCCGTGGATGTGCAATCCCTACCCTGAGATTCTTATATTAGGTTTGCAATTAGAAAAGCAAGCCTGTTGCTAGTTACATACTGGAAGGGAAAAGAAAAACAAGTGGCCAAGCAAGCCCACCTGGAGGGCAAAAATCAGAAACAGCAGGGGTGGGGGACCTTTTGGAACAAAGAGTCCAGGCCAACCTGGAGTTATGGAGCAAAATCAAGATGAGTAAGGAAACTTAGAATAAGCATCTATCTGCTCATGTGCACCAAGTACAGGATTAACATAAAGGTAAAAGCTAACATTGGTTAACACCTACTATGTGCCAGATGCTTTAAATGCATTAGCTTATTTAATCTTCGCAACAACTCTGGGAGACGGGCATTTCATTATTATCATTTAAGAGATAAGAAACGGAAACTGAGAGACTTAGTGAATTGCCCCAGGTCTTAGAGCTAGTGAATGCTGACACTGGCCCACACTATTATCCTAAGTCTATCCTCTCCTTTGACAGTCCCACATATACAGACGCCATTCTCAAGAAAAGACAGCAATAAAATAATCACTGTCTAACAGCATGTCCCAAGTTAGTAAGAAAGCACTTTGGACATAACCCTTTATGCGTCTGCACAGTCTTGGTGACATCCTTCCCCATCTCGAATATCATCACAGCCTGGCAACACCCGAGAGGCAGAAAGTATCGACTGGCATCCTGTCAGATGAAAAAACTGAAGTGCCGATGGCAGCTTGAGTGAGGGACAGAGATAGGACGGTGGCCCAGGCCCTCTGAAGCTGACCAAGCCATGGCTCCTCCACGGGACACCCCTGAGGGCTTAAAAAAGCCACTGACCTCCACATGCCGGTGAAACTGAACATGGTGCTGACACAGCGAGGCAGGGGGGGCGGCGTGAGTCCGTCCAGGCGCATGAGCAGGGCCGGGATGCCAAAGAGCACCAGGTACTTCACGTAGAAAAAGAGCACTTGGGCCAGCGCCAGTCCTCCTGGAAGACAGAGGGCCCGTTAGACACGCGACAGCAAGTGGAGCCGTCTCCTGGCAAAGACGCGACATTCCAGCGACGCGCCACCTGCTCGCACTTCCCCGCCCACTCTCCTCCCCTTCAGCACCCACATTTACAAAGCCTCCCGCACTGGCGTTGCAGGCGCTTTTTTATATTGCAAAATAAATTTAAATTAAGAATAAATAACTGCAGTAGTGTAACAGAATAGACATGCTACACGTAGAGTTTATTTATGTCTACAACGGCCCTTCCCAACCAAAAACAGTGGGGGAAGAGGGCCCCACGCATCAGACGTGAAGACTTGCTACACGTGCAGCTATATGAGACTTAACGACGTGATGCGGGGAAGGGAGGGGGATTTTACACAGGACCAAATGACCTGGAAATTCCGAAAAGCACATTTTCCGGCAGCGATCAGGTGTATATTTGTTTGAATTTTGATGCTTCACTGGGCCCAATAGAAGTGCTCTGTAAAACCTATGTCCAAAAGAATTGGAAATTAACCACTGATTAAGGTATTCTATTGCAAATCCTTCAGGCAAGCAAAGAATCACTTTAGAAAGCCAATAATTGCCTCCCTAATGTAGCCAGCAAATTCAGGGTTCCATACGTCCACTTTGCCTAAAAGAAAGACACGCCTATCTTACGTCGTCTAAGACGTTATCTGTACACTAAGTTACCTGGGCGCTATAATGGGTCAGACATTAACAGACAGCATCGTGCTCTAAGGGGATACTGGGGTTGGAGGGGGGGGGGCAGGGAACAGTTGGTGCTTTAAATAACTGGTGCAACTAGCCACCCTTTATAATGCCACGATGTCGAGCCGGCATCTCTCCCATTCTGTAAGCATGCACCATGAAATTGTCCTCACGCCACATGGAGTATCTGTAATTGAACAGTCAAGTTCGCAGTGGGAAACCTCAGAGGAGCTTCGGCTTCATCATGCATTAATTTTATATAATCTCAGGATTCTAATCCAAGGAGAAAATTTATAAAAATTATTTTTTTCTACTGCATCTCAACGAATGCTAGCATGTTTAATGCGGCCAAAGAATAGGAAAAGAAGAGAAGCTCCTGCTATCTGACACTTGTTTGTGTCCCCAGTTTTCAAAATAAACAGCCTCTCCCCTCATTGTGATGTAAAAGGGGGGGGGGACGGAAATGGTTGGCTTTTTTAGCATGTCATTACCCTTCAGATAGGGGCACAGACATCATCTCAACAACAGCTGGTGTTTAAACACTGAGCCGAAAAGCCCCTGACCACACCCACTTAGGAGACAGGTCTCTAAACTTAACTCTCGGGCAGGTCCACAGAGCTCTGTTATATCTTTGCCCTGTAAGAAGAGCCAACTTTCAATCATTTCCACCTCCCACCTCTTCGCTCACTCTCAGGTCCCCTGCCAAAGCTCTCTTTTATCCCCACAACCTCATATACCTGGATTTACCTGGAGACACCACTCAAGAATGAACTCAAAAATGTGATCTTTTTTATAATGAACTAAAAATGTGATCTTTTTGAGCTGTTTCAAAGAAAAACTACTAATTACCACCTTAATCGTCGGCTCTGTCAAGTTGGGATATAGTTAGAATCTGCCATATTTTTTTCTTTTTATAAGACTCTGAAGTTCAGAAAATGAGTGAATACATGTTATACATTTGTCTAAACCCATAGAATGCACAACACCAAGAAGGAGCCCTAATGTAAACTATCATGATGTGTCAGTGCCCCTTCATCTCTGAGGAGGGATGTGGATGGTGTGGGCGCAGGGATGGCATGGGTGATCTTTGTGCCTTCCTCTCAGTTTTGCTGTGAACCTCTTAAACTGCTCTCAAAAAAATGAGTCTTTTAAAACACAAAAGAAGAAAAAATGAGAGTTATTATCTTTTTGAGATACTACTAAAGTATCAATGATAATGGTACGATGTTTGGGATTTGCTTCAAAACAATTTAGGAGAGCCCGGCCGGGCGTGGCTCAGCGGTTGAGCATCGACCTAGGATCCAGGAGATTGAGGTTCGATTCCCGGTCAAGGCACAGGCCCGGGTTGCAGGCTCCATCCCCAGGCGGGGGCGTGCAGGAGGCATGGGATCAATGACTCTCTCACCGTTGATATTTCTCTCTCTCTCTCCCTCTCCCTTCCTCTCTCTGAAATCAATAAAGATATATTAAAAAACAAACAGCAATATAGGAGAGAGTCCAGATGAAAGACAGGTGGCTACCAGTTGATAACTGTTGAACCTGACTGATGCATTCGTGGGGGTTAATTACATGTGCATGCTTTAAATTTTCCAAAATACAAAGCTTTAAAAGGGGAGGCATTGAGAGCCCCTACCTAAACTCTGAATCTCAGCCAGGCACGTTCAACTTTCTTTTCACCCACCAACCAAACGCATTTGCAGAAGACAGTGAGCAAAAAGGACTTAAATCTGCACAGTCCCACCCCCATGCTCCCCTGTGAGCACAGCAAGTCTGAGAAGGGTAACATGGAGAGGCAGATTCGGGGGAGGAGAAGGGGAGAATGCCATGTGGCAGAGTAGTGAAGTGGCTTTTCAGTCCTTGAATCCCTGGGGATTGGCAGCCCCTGAAGAAGTGCGTCTCCCTGTAGGAAGATGCCCCACCACGATCTTCATCAGTTCAACGGTGTTTCTCAAATGTGTCTGGTCCTGCCCGGCCAGTGTGGCTCAGAGGTTGAGTGTCGACCCAGGAACCAAGAGGTCAAGGTGTCCTGATTCGATTCCAGGTCAGGGCACATGCCTGGGTTTCGGGCTTGATCCCCAGTAGGGGACGTATAGGAAGCAGCCTGTCGATGATGTTTCTCTCTCATCGATGTTTCTGTCTCTCTATCCCTCTTCCTTCCTCTCTCTCTAAAAGTCAATAAAAACATTATATTATGCTATATTATGTTATATTATGTTATATTTTATATATACACATATATACACTCACACATATATATGTGTGTATATATATATAATCTGTCTGGTCCTGAGAATCACTAGGGATAACAGCTAATTACAGATTCCTGGACCTCTCCTTGACACGTCGATTTAGTAGGCTTGGGCCAGAGTCCTGAAATCTGGATGCGAAACAAGTTTTTTGGGAAGCTATGTTCAGTCATTCCGAGTTAGAAGATCCACACCCTTTCCCCAGGTTTAAAAATATACATCAAAGTGTAAATGGCAATTTGGGGGGTTGGTGAGGTTACCTTCATATCTCCATTCACTCCTATTTTCTAATTTTCATGTACAGAAAAGAATCGCCTCACTTGCTCAGTCTGCAGGTTATGTGACAGAGCTTCAAAGGCGATTTTCCACACTCATTCTGACACTCATCACTGAGTTAGCCAAAAAGATCACATGCACAGAATTAAAAAAATAAATAAATCCTGTGCCATAGGTCTGACCCTTAATTCTATTAGCGAAAGAGGGCTCTAATTCTGACAACCACAACTGCATTGTGAAGAAACGATGCTCTGGGAGCTTGGGAGGGCAGACCAGGTCTCCCAGGCGAATGTCATGCTCTCTGTTGGAGAAACGAAGCCCCAAGCTTCCCTGCCAAGAGTCCTGCTCAAATAAACACCTCCACAAAAAGCCGTGCTACAGACTGTCCACAAAACTTCACCACCACTCTATTCCTAAGGAAAGGTGTGGTATAAGAGCAAAAACTAAAGTCACAGCCAGTTATCAAAGCCCCCTCAAAGAGTAAATCCTCAGGTAATGCCCAAATCTGCTAGTCTTTCAAGGGGGGAAAGTCAAAGTCTGTTCATCTATGTTTATAGACTTTATCTATGTATTTATTTGATCTTGTAGAACCGTTACAGTATGTTCCCTCAGCTATTGTGATAGTGCTTGAGGTATGTAAATACGATTTTAAATGTGGCAATTATAAAAGATATAAAATTACTTATTTTAATCTTTCAGAATATGAGAGTTTTGAAAACAGGAGAAGGGTTTGAAAAGCGGGATGTGTCTAAGGCCCCAGCGATCTAGGTGGATCTTTATTGGCCACCCATTCACTATGAATCCCAAATACCTATCGCTAATACCAATATCTCTCCTAAATTCCAAAACCGTGGATGGGATCACCCCTGGACCTCTCCACTTCACCTTGTGCCTCTGGCCCCCAAGTGCCTCATGAGGGTCTGAAGAATGAACCGGTGGGTAGTGATTTCCTCTGGAGGCTTAATGAAGCTTGTTGAATTGATTTGAATTAAATGACCACCATTTTCTCATTGATCACAATTTGATTTGAGGACAGTTCGCACTTAAATAACACTCGACAATCATTGAGCCCATCTAAATTCCCTTAATATGCCCGGTGCTGCAAAGTTGATGACAGTTCAGAATTAGAACACTCAACTTCTCTCTCCTAATCAAAAGTAATTCATTATCGCAAGCAGTGGGGGGTGGAGGTAGGCATCATCTCAATCTGAGAGTTCAGGGGAACTGGCCTGGAAGTGGGCTGTTTTGAAGCAAGAGTTAGCTAGATACAGGGAACTTCAAGCAATGACATATACAAGGCACAAGTATATAAATCAACCCGGGGGAGCG